GGAGGCCTGCTTCTCCCTCTCCCTCTGCCTCCCGGTCCCCCTGCTTGTGCTCTCTCTCTCTCTGTCAAATAAAAATATAAAATCTTAAAAAAAAAAAAAGAAAAACTACTTGAAGGAATAATGGGTGAAAATTTCCAAAATTTGAAGAAAGATGATTTATAAATTTAAGAAGCTCAGTGAACCCCAAAGAGCATAAATTCAAAGAAAAACCACATCTAGGCACACTGTAGTCAGACTACTGAAAACAAAGCCTAATGAGCAAAATCTTTTTTTTTACTGATTTATGAGACATTTATTAGAAATGATAAAATTATTTATAAAGGGTCAGAAAAGGGCCATAAACTTCCAAATAGATTTTTAAAATGAAGTCAGCAACCAAAACCAATAATTAAACCATCCTGCCAAAAAAGTCAGGTTCCATGAGCCTCAGGGTCTGAATGTTTTCTAGTCACATGCATGCATCGGAAAACAACAGAAAAATCTTTTCTGTTTCAGTGACGGCAGACATAAACAACTGAGGTGACAGTGGAACAACGTCTTTAAAGTGATAAAAGAAAAAAAGAACTTCCAATCCAGGACTCTATATCTGAGGAAAATATTCTTTGGAAATGAAGGTGAAATAAGTATATTTCGAGGTAAGTGAAAGCTAAGAGAATTCACCAACAGCCTACACTAACAGCACCGCTAAAGGAGGTCTTTCAATCTAAAAAAAACATAATAGTAGAGGGAAACCTTGATCTTTGGGTAGAGATAAAGACCAGAAATGGTAAATATGTGAGTAAATATTAAAGCAAGTTTTCTCTTAATTTCTTTATAATACATATGACTTTTTTTTTTTAAAAGACTTTATTTATTTATTTGACAGAGAGAGACACAGCGAGAGAGGGAACACAAGCAGGGGGAGCGGGAGAGGGAGAAGCAGGCTTCCCGCCGAGCGGGGAGCCCGATGCGGGGCTCGATCCCAGGACCCCGGGATCATGACCTGAGCCAAAGGCAGACGCTTAACGACTGAGCCACCCAGGCGCCCCTACATATGACTTTTTAAAGTAAAAAATGTAAGTGCATTATAGATTTTATAACATATGTAGATGTAATACATATGGCAATTATAGCATAGTGGATAGGGTAGAGGGGAAATGGATCTGTATGGTGGAAAGATTCTTACATTTATGTACAATATTAACTCTAAGTAGATAGTGAAAAGTTAAGGATACGGATATATATTAATGTCTAGAGCAACAACTAAAAAACAGTGCAAAACTGTATAGCCAAAAATATAAGAGGAAATGGAAGTCTAAAAAAATTTGATTAACTTAAGCAGGAAAGAGGGAACATAGGACAAAATAGAGGGCACAGATAGAGAAAGGACAGACCTAGGTCCGACCATATCAACAGTTGTATTCAATGTAAATGGGCTAAGCACTTAAAAGGCAGAGCTTGTCAGAACAGATAAATGGGCAAGGCTTTTGATGTCTACAGAGAGACACGAATGGTTGATAGTAAGAGGATGCAAAATGATACACCATGCAAAGAGTAAGCATAAAAAAAGTGAGAATGGCTATACTAATACCAGACAAAGTACAATTAAAGACAAAGATTATTACCTGAGATATAAGGGTCAATTAATCAGAACCACAAAGAATTCATAAATTTGTATGCACCCCATAACAGAGCTTCAAAATACATGAAATGAAATGTGACAGAACAAGGAAAGAAATAGATATTTTCACAATTATAGTTGGAGATTTTAACACCCTTCCCTCAGCAGTTGATACAACTAGACAAGATATCAGCAAATATATAGAATATCTGTATGACATTATCAACCACCTTTACTTAATCAATATTTATAAAACACCATACCCAACAACTGCAGTATATATTCTTTACAAGGACACATTGTACACTCACCTGGATAGATCAAATGCTGAGCCATAAAACAAGTCTCAACAAATTTAGAAAATCTGAAATTTTACATAATAAGTCATTTGAGTCCACAATGGAGTTCCATTACAAATTAACAGCAATAATATATCTCCGAATATCTGGATTTCAACATCACACTTCTAAAAAAAAAAAAACAAAACCCATGGATCAAAGAAGAAAACACAAAGGAACTTAGAAAATATTTCATATGGAATAACTAAAAATAAAACGTTAAAATTAATGGGAGGCAGGTAAAAAAGTGATTAGAGGACAATTTATTGCTTTAAATGCTTATATTAGAAAAGAAGAAAGGCATAAAATCAATGCCCTAACGCTCCATCTAAAGAAGCTAGAAAAAGAAAAGCAAGGTAAATCCAAAATAAGTTTTTAAAAAGGAAATAATAGAGATAAGAGCAGAAACAAATGAAACAGAAAACTATGGTGCAAGTTAGCAAAGCCATACATTTTTTAAAAGATTTTATTTATTTATTTATTTATTTATTTAGAGCATGAACAGGGGTGGGAGGGGCAGAGGGAGAGGGAGAGAGAGAGAATCTCAGGCAGACTCCCTGCTGAGTGTGGAGCCCAGCGCCAGACTGATCCCACCACCCAGAGGCCTGAGTGAAATCAAGAGTCGGTCGCTTAATAAACTGAGCCACACAGGCGCCCCTACAAAGCCATACATTTTTTTGTAAGATTTATCCATTTATTTGAGAGAGAGCCAGAGGGAGAGAGAGAGAGAACATGAGTTGGGGGGGACAGAGGGAGAGAATCTCAAGCAGCCTTCCTGCTGAACGCGAGCCCCACGTGGGGCTTGAGCCCACAACGCATGAGATCATGACCTGAGCCGAAACCAAGAGTCAGGTGTCCAACGGACTGAGCCACCCAGGCACCCCCAAAGCCATACATTTTTTTAAAAAGCAATGAAATATATAACCCTTAGGAAGATTAATCAGGAAAAAGAGGAAGTACACTAATCAATATTAGGAATGAAAGGGGGATGTCAGCACAGATCATATAGGTATTAAAAGAATAATGAGGGACTATTAGGATGATCCTTATGCCAATAATTTTGATCACTTAGATAAAATTGACAAACTTCTTGGAAACAAAGCAATTTACAAAAACTGACAACAGATTAAACAAAATATGAATAGCCTTATTTCTTATAAATAAATTGAAAAGGATTTTATTTATTTATTCATGAGAGACAGAGAGAGAGAAAGAGAGAGAGGCAAAGGGAGAAGCAGGCTCTCCGCTGAGCAGGGAGCCTGACGCGGGGCTCGATCCCACGACCCCGGGATCATGACCTGGGCTGAAGGCAGACGCTTAACCATCTGAGCCACCCAGGCGCCCTCTTATAAATAAATTTAATTTACTACCAAAAAACTGTCCTTAAAACAAAACAAACAAGCACAACAAAAGAACAGTCCAGGCCCAGATGATTTCATGGGTGAGTTCTAGCAAATGCTTAAGGAATGAAAATCATCAGTCTTCCACAACCACTTTCAGAAGATAGAAGAGCCGGGGACAATTCCTAACTCATTTTTGAGCTAGTATAAATCTTGATTAAATATTATGTAGAAAAAGAAAATTATGGAAAAATAACCCTCAAGAACAGTATAGCAAAAATCCTTAACTATCAGCAAATCAAATCGAGCACTATATAAAAAGGAAAGTTTTTCTATTGCCTATTTACAGACTCAGGCACAAGATGTTCAGTGACCTGTGTAGGCCACACCCAGCTGTCAGGTGAATCTATATTCACATAACACAATGCCACACACTTTCCAATGCAATGGCTGCCTGGGTGGTTCAGGGCTGGCTTTACAATGTAAAAAGGTGTGATGAGCTCCTGACATGGGAACACCCAACCTGTGTCTGCCCTGGAGATTCCAGGCTAAATGAGGGAAGGTTGTGAGTACAGAATGGTACTAGGGACTTGTTCATAGGTTCCTCTGCCCCCTGACTCCCGGTTTGCGGCCCCCACACAATGGTCACAATTATTGATGGGGCTGTTTTGCTGCTGGAGGGCCAATGGGTGTACCTGTTGCTTCTGGAGCCTCCAAGCCTGGTCACATCAAGCCTTTACCGAGCAGGTCCCATTGCCATGGCAACACTGATGCTTCCTCCCATGTTTTCCTGATTGAGGCATTTGCCCTGCACGGAGATGCCCAGATCTTTCTCCTTCATCTACCTGGGGCTTCTGGGAGCACTGGGAAGCCCACGTGGCCTTATCACCGAGGACTTGGGAGACCCTCTGGACCGTGCAGCCCTGGACCGTGCAGCCCTGGGCTGCGCAGCTGAGGTGTAGTCTGCTGATTCTCTCGCTCCAGGGCATTGAGGTGATTCTGATTCTTCCGCTTCAGAGTTGCCCCGCAGCCCTCAGGTGGTGTTTTCCCGCCAGGCAGCACCTGCAGAGTCAGAGAAAGTGAGCAGGGGACCAAGGGCTTTGCTCCGACGGGACCTTAGACTTATGGGGCACCCTGGGTAAGGGCTGGATCACTGCAGGCGGTGGGGGGCGGCAGAGGGGGATCCAAAGCTGCCTTGAAGGGGACGGGTGGGAAGGGCTCCTGGCTGTGGAGGGCGACACCAGTTGCCGAGGAGCAGGTGCTGGTGGGAGAGGGCGGGGTTCCGACTCAGGGTGTGGGGGCGCGGGACCAGGTTTCAAGGTTGCCCGTGCAGAGCAGGGGTGCTCTGGGTCAGGCGCTAGGAAAGAGAGCATGGGAGGACTCCTGGCTGCAGGGATCAGGAAGGGAGGGCTCCCAGCTGCAGGGTTGCAGGTGATGGGGGGTGGGGCTCCGGCTGCAGTGGCCGGGTCAGGGGCTTTGGGCAAGGCGAAAGGAGGTCTCCTTGCTGCAGAGCTGAGGGGTGCTTGGTGTGGGTTCTGAGCTGGGGCATGGAGGGCGTGAACTGGCCAGGGAGGAGATCCAGGTCGCTGAGGGGGGCGGTGGGGTGGGCTGTCTGGCACCAATGTCCCTCTCTCCTCTTTGCACTCACAGGCCACCACTGCAGACTGCGACATTCTGCGCGCCCCTGTCCCATTACGCTACCTTCCCCGTCAGGTATCTGCCATGCCACTGACAATGCTGCGTGACTGGTGCAGGTGGATGGGCGTGAACGAGCACCGTTCCCTGCTCATCCTGGGCATCCCTGACGACTGCGGGGACGAGGAATTCCAGAAGGCCGTGCGCACTGCCCTGTGGCCCCTGGGCACGTACCGAGTGCTGGGCAAAGCGTTCAGAAAGGAGCTCGGATCCAGGGTCGCCTTGGTCGAGTTTGCTCAGTATTTAAACCGAAGTTTGATCCCCCGACAAATACCAGGCAAGGGAGGACCCTGGCCTGTGGTCTTTCTGCCCCAGGCCCCCGATTCAGAGTCACAGGATAGACCAGATTTCCCTGCACAGCCCCAGAGGCATGCAGGAGTTGGCCAGGCAGGTGTGGCAGGAGCTGCAGGTGTGGCAGGAGCTGCAGGTGAGGCAGGAGCTGCAGGTGAGGCCGGAGCTGCAGGTGAGGCAGGACCTGTAGGTGAGGAAGGACAGGAAGGTGAGGCAGGAGCTGCAGGTGAGGAAGGACAGGAAGGTGAAGCAGGAGCTGCAGGTGAGGAAGGACAGGAAGGTGAGGCAGGAGCTGCAGGTGAGGAAGGACAGGAAGGTGAGGCAGGAGCTGCAGGTGAGGCAGAAGTTGCAGGTGAGGCAGGAGCTGCAGGTGAGGCAGGAGCTGCAGGTGAGGCAGGAGCTGCAGGTGAGGAAGGAGCTGCAGGTGTGGCAGGAGAACCTTTTCTGGGATGGAAGAGCCAGACCAAGAGGGAGAGTCCTTTGAGAGCTGGGTGGACCATGCCAACGACATGCTGTACACGTGGCGCCACGTGTCAGAAAGGGAGAGGAACAGGCGGCTGGTGGAAAGCTTGGGTGGCCCCGCGCTGGATCTCATGTGCAGCCTCCTGGCAGATAATCCCGACATGCCTGCGCAGGATTGCCTGCCCCCCTGGTACAGGTGTTTGGGGACAAGGACACCTGCATGACTGCACGGCTCAAGTTCCTGACTTGTGCCCAGCGGCCCCAGGAGACTCTCTTTGCCTATGTGATGAGCCTGGAAGGCCTGCTGCAGTCAGCCGTGGAGAGGGGGGCCTTCCATCCTGTCATCGCAGACCAGGTTCGCGCCAGGCAGGTGCTGATGCGGGCCCGCCCGAACGAGATGCTCCAGAGCAAGCTGAGGAGGATGCGCCTGGAGAGGAGACCACCTGGCTTCATGGGGATGCTGCGGCTCATTCGGGAGACCGAGGCATGGGAGGCCGCCTCAGGTAGGGCTGAGCAATTCCAAGCGGAAGAAGGGGCCTGTGTGGACATGGGAGGGCTGCCGGCCGCCCAGGCTGCCCTCGCCAGTGAAGAGGTTGCTGAAGCCGCTCCAGCCAATGAAGATGCTTTCCAGGCTGCCCTGGCTCTTGAAGTCATCACCGAGGACACCCCTGCCTGTGCAGGTGAAACCGAGGCCTCCCCAAGCGACGAAGATGCTTTCTGGGCTGCCCCGGCTCTTGAAGTCATCACTGAGGGCAACCCTGCCGGTGCAGGTGAAACCGAGGCCTTCCCAGCCAGCGAAGACGCTTTCCAGGCTGCCTTGATTCTTGAAGTCATCACCGAGGACACCCCTGCCGGTGCAGAGGAAACCGAGGCCTCCCCAGCCAATGAAGATGCTTTCCGGGCTGCCCTGGGTTTTGAAGTCATCACCGAGGGCACCCCTGCCGGTGCAGATGAAACCGAGGCCTCCCCGACCAACGAATGCTTTCTGGGTTTCCCTGGCTCTTGAGTCATCACCGAGGGCACCCCTGCCGGTGCAGAGGAAACCGAGGCCTCCCAAGCCAGCGAAGATGCTTTCCGGGCTGCCCCGGCTCTTGAAGTCATCACCGAGGGCACCCCTGCCGGCGCAGGTGAAACCGAGGCCTCCCCAGCCGACGAAGATACTGCCAAGCCTGCCCCAGTGAACGTGGAGGCCAGTGAGGCAGTTCCTGGCACTGCCGAAGCTGGTAGGGCTGCTCCTGAACCCCATGATGCTGCCACGGCTGCCCCTGCCCCTCAGGAGATCTCCAAGTTCTTCCCTGCCACTCAGGAAGATGAAAATGCTCCCTCCTCTGTGGGCCTAGGTCAGGCAAGACCCTCCGAGGCCCCTGGGGGCCCCACCCCTGCCCAGATGGGCAGTGCTTCCAGGGTGGGCCCAGGAGGTCCTGGCTGTGAGCCAGAGGGTCTCGCCCAGGCAGGAGACCAGGAGGCTGGGGAGCCCCCCGAGGAGGGGCTCAAGCCCATCCCAGAAGAGTTGGAAAACAAGGGTGGCGCTGGGGAGACGAGCCCCCCCAAGTCCTCCTCAGGCAAATAGGCTCAGAAGGCCCAGGGGCCCCCTCTCCTCTCAGGCAGCAGAGTTCTGGAGGCAGAGGGAGGCCATGCCAGGGCAACAGCCTCGCCCCACATTGAGAGTAGGGCCGAGGGAACAGCCCACTCACCCAAACAAATTCCCAGGACCCCACCTCCCCAAGGCACCCTAGCCAGCACCATTAGCCCTTCCAAATGACCAAGATGACCATGCCTGACACCAAATGGGGCAGGAAGAGCTGCCTCCCCACCAGGGCAGCTCCACACCCAGCCCCAGCCCCAGCCCCAATCCAAATGGGGCAGGGAGAGGTGCCTCCGCCCACCCAGGGCAGCCACACACCTGGCCCCAGCCCCATTCCATGCCAACTCAGGCAGCCAAGTCCCCGGGCACTCCACCACCCCTAAGGGGACCTGCCTCTACCACCATGCCCTGCCCCATCCCCAATCCATGCCAACTGAGCAGCCAAGCCCCCAGGCACTCCACTACTTCTGAGGGGACCTGAACACCACCCATCAGCCCTTCCAAGTGACCAAGATGACTATACATGACACCAAATGGGGCAGGGAGAGGTGCCCTCCACCCATGGCAGCACCACACCCAGCCCCAGCCCCAGCCCCAATCCATGCCAACTCAGGCAGCCAGTCTGGGAAACGTCCCTGAGTGGCTGGCCCTAGCCTAGGGGACGGGCACCTGAAGCCATCTGCCACCCACACTGTACTA